GATCATTTTCAAAAAATCAACTGATTATAGTAAATTTATAAAAATTATTCTATATTGAAGTAGGTTCCGTGCATCTCAGATATATTACTAGCTACTTTGAATAATAGACAAAGGAACTTCATCTGAAGAAACAATGAGGTGACTCACATAGAGCCAATGGCACTATTTTCGTCCAAAAACTAGTCTTCTTTGGTAAATTGTTTTCATAAATATTCATGATGAAGACCCGAAAGAACTTGTTGAGGCCAAAAATGCTGATAAAAAATCATGGCATTGTTTTCACTAATATACGTTAAACCAGCAGAAAAGTGCAGCTACTAGTAAGTCCTTATGCCTCTGAGTCTTCCCAGTACCTTGACAATGGGTGGATGTAAAGGTCTCATGGTTAAAAGGCAGTTTAAAGTTGCAGGGTAACCCAAAGCTCTCCAAAATAGCAAAGGGCTATTGTAAATGTTGGAAACCACGCCAGTCCAAAATAAGTGACTGCCCCGCTCTGAACTCTGAAACACATTCCCAGGGCTTACACCTGAAAGAACTTTCCATACACAAAAAAATAATCACTAATTATGGTCTCAAGTCTGTTTGCAACTACTCTTTATCATAAAAGGTCATTATTTTCTTAAGTCTATTTGCAATGCTCAGGATCTGGAAGGAAGAAAGAACAGAGGCATACAGCACAACATTCTCGAAACCATCCACCTAAAGTGAAGAATAGTGTTTCAAATAACATTCTATAAAGTGGCACATCAATTACCCAATGTGGAACCCCAAATAAATGAGAGGCCACTGTAAAATAGTGCCCCCGGCATCAATCAAGAAAAGAAAATTTTCTCCTGCAATCCTTGTCTTCAAATAAAGTGCTCGTCGAAATTGATGCCAGCTGAACCACTTAAATATATTTAAGGGTAACCCATAGGAGGCATTATTTTTACTCAATTGAGAAACATAAAAGGAAACTACATCGAGAGATAAATTGTTGTGGTGCAGGCCTACCACGCTTCGCACCTCCTCAAGAAAAGAAAAGAATGGTGCTATCCATTAATTGCTAATGAGAGGCTTCACTTTTGTGCATATTGAAGAATTTAGAATATCGAATTTGGTTAGCTTTTCCGACATTGCTTGTGTATGGCCACTTTTAATACAGTCCTGTCGTTCTGCTTCAAAAGAAAATGCCAGCACCTGAACTTGAGGACTTTGGTTTTTCATTTTTTTTTTTTTTTGAGGTTTTTTCATTGGAAATATGCTGAACTCTAAATTACCAAAAAAATGGATAAAACCAAACAGATTCTTATATACTCGTGATTGACCTTTCACCAAAGTTTTCTGGAACCTTTTCTTCTTCTTCTCCTCCTATACAAAGAAAGGCTTATAATGAAGTGTTTTTGAAATCATTTGTCCCTCTCCCTGCTACTTGCCATTTCCTTTTCCGGGCTGATTACAATTCCACATGCGGTCTCTTATTGTGCGACATTTTTGTGCTTTTTAAAACTGTAATATCTTCCTTTTTAGCATGCTGGTAAATGAATGACTTAGGTCTCTATTATGTTACAAATTCTGAATTCTTTCCATGATATCCTAGTGGTACTACAATCCGTGGACATATTGATTAATGTTCTGATATTATTGTGCTACTGTGTTGCCATCAGTCGAATGACTGTAGGTAAGATGATAGAACTTCTTGGTGGTAAAGCTGGAGTTTCGTGCGGTAGGTTCCATTATGGTAGTGCCTTTGGGGAACCAAGTGGCCATGCAGATAGGGTGGAAGCGATAAGGTGTCTTCTTACCTGTCATTTTTTACTGCTGGGTTTCAGTTTTTCCTGTTTATTTTTTAACATAATTTCTTGCTTTGATATAGTGAAACTCTCGTGAAACATGGGTTTAGCTACAGCGGCAAGGACTTCATATATTCAGGTATCTTTATGCTTTTTAGTAAAAAATTTCACATAGAACTATGAGGTATTTGTTTAAATTTCTTTCTCTTGACGTTCTAATTACTTGTTACTTTTAAAGCACAAGAAAACTGATGTAATTTAGCAGTAGTAAGGAGATCATATTCCAAATCCTGGAAAGTACACTATGATTTCTTACCTATTTCAAAACCCTGTTTGCCACCCATAGAATATATAGAGTAGCAAAAAAAAAAAGTCAAGCATCTATATGGATGAAAGGTTTCTCAATCTTGGAGAAGAAGGAATTTATGTTTATGGGGCATTTCAGATCCGCTTGATAATTCTTCCCTGGGCAGAAGTCTAGTTTGAGCCCTGTGTTTTTGCCTTATCGTAATTAAGTGGTTTTTGTTTTCCTTGTGATAATTTAGTTCTTGCAGTATTGTCTTTTTTTCACCTGATATGAGATTATTAGTTATTAGAGGACATTTGAACGTTTATGGGCTTCTGACTACGATCACGTGGAAGTTCGGCTAAGCAATTCAAAATTAGAGAAAAGAACCTAAAAACTATAACATAATGACTAATAATTAATAATTTCATGTAGCTAATTTCATGTAGCTGTTAAAAAGCCAAACAGTCTGAATTATCACAAAAAAAACTGCAGGGTTTGAATCGCAATAAGATCAAACAGCAGGAAGTAAGACTACAATTTCCTTTTTCTTAGTATAATGGTTGAGGTGAATAAACACTATTTGACATTGAAATACGAGTTTGGTACATTTTTTATTATTCCCAAGGCTAAGCTCCTACATTATGGAATTTGATGGGTCTATGCTGCTGCATCTTGCAATAATCCCAAGATCCATTGAAAGGTACTACCTAAGTTCATCTAGAAGTAACTGTTAGTAAACTTGGGATATTGGTACCTTTTAAAACACTAATTGAACAGAATGTTCAGCCCAAATGTTTGAAAAGAAAAACAGAATAATGGTTATCTGTACTGAGACATTATTTTTTCACCTTAAAAAAATTTAAGAAAAAAGGTTTACACCTTGTTGTGGCAGAGTGTTTTGAATTTTATGGCCAAGAACATATGTACGAGTTAAAAGTTGAAAGTAAAAATAAGGTTCAGAAGTAAAAAGTTACATGAGTATAAAAGGAATAAAAAGTTGTTAAAACTCATGGCATATCTTAGCTTCATATGGTTCTATTTATTGTATGTTTATGAATTAAAAAAAAAAAACTGTTTTCTACAATTAAAGGCACCTTACTGTTACCTTAAACTCAATTTCAGGTATCACTGGATGTCCGCTGCAAGCTTATATTTTCATGGGGCCAATTTACTACCAAAAATTAAAACACATGGTTAGATTTCAGTCCTTTGGTATTGCATAGTTCATTCTACATTCTTGTTGATAATCGTGTTTGATTATTTAACTATTTGTCATATTCCTTTAAGAAATTGATGAAGCCATGAATTTCAAGCATGGAAGTTATGGTCATGGTTGGATGTAATGATTCCTATTGTCGAGCATAAAGTCTGCAAGACAAGATTTCATGGAAACTAGTGTGTAAAGGGCATATTGTATGCTAACACTGGATGTTGTGCAACAACATTACAGTTACAACACTTTGGTGCATAGATAAGAAAAATAAGACAGAACATGATGGACAGTTCTAAATAGAACTGCAAAAGAAAAGGAAGCTTTGTTTTGTGTTTAATGCTGGGCAGCAAAATCTATGTGTTGAAGAATGAATTATTGTACCTTTCATTGAACATTTGAGTCTTATATATACATCTGAAGAGTATCAAGAACAGGAAACTGTGTTAATTACAAAGATGACAATGATTTGGGATATATTACCAATATATCTTTTCCCTAATGAAAACTTACTGTACACTTCTTAACACTCTTCCTCAAGCTAGTGAATAGATATTATCTATTTCCAGCTTGACAATGATCGTTTGAAATATGGGATATTTAATCCTTTAGTTAAAAACTTCGTAAGTTGTGAGGTGGTTGGCCTATTCTTAATCCTCCTCTCTGGATTTCGATTGGCCTATCCACCAACTCAAAAACTGCCCGTTTCACCTGCCACCATCCCTCTGCTTGCCTTCCTCCAAAATGAATATTTTTTAACTGCCTTCCCTCTATCAGCCGAAAGCAGCAAAATTCTTCCATTCTGATTCCTTGCAAGTGCCACCGCAAGCTTGGGGTTTCTCCCTACTTTATTTTTTCCCCAAGCTTTGCAAGCCTTCTTCCAGTAGAAATCTTCTAGGACATCCACAAGCTGTGCAACATCCTCCTCATCCAATGACATAGATACTTTAAAGCCCCTTTTATTTTCACTGATTCTTAGCCCCTGCATGTTCTTTCCTTCATACACTACATCAAATATTTTACTTGCTATCAGCAAAAACTTCTTTCTTTGATGTGTCATCACTTCCTCCTCTTTTTGGTCCGCTTGAGTGGCCGACTCCCCCTTAGCCCTTTTCCTTCCACCTTGCCTTCTCTTCTCCCTGTTTCCCTTTCTTCTATCTTCTTCTTCCTAGCCTCTCTCACTCAATATCTCTTAGTCTCTCAGTCTCTCGTCCACATGAGGCACAAATTAACACAGTTTCCCCTCAGTATTGTTTAGGAATATGGTTTTGGAACAGAAAAAGGTCCAAGCAGTGGTAAGCAATTGAGTGTTCTTTCATTATGATATTCTATTTTATGGAGTATAGGCATGGGAAAACTTTGAATAATTCTTTTCTTTTGAAAGGAGGATAATTTTTGGTTAAAGTAATCTCGAACATTATTAGTTTTGAAGCATTTAATTTTTATCCTAGATTGAGTACAAATCATTATATAAAACTGGGGAAGATATCACTGACCTTATTTTTAGACTTAAATAAAAAAGTCAGATAGCTGAGTACATCATCAATAAAGAGACAGACATTGAGCTCCAAAATATAAGATATTTGGTGGATCCTGTATATGATATAAATAAAAGTAAAAGAAGATACTCTTTTTGGCTAGGAGAAAGATTACACGCC